TGGGTATCCAGCCGGCAGCTTTCCTCTGGCTTGCCAAGGCTCAGGATCATCCCCACCCCTGGTGCGATGCCCCCTTCCACCTCAGCAGGGCCTGTCCAGCCTCCTCTCCTGCCTGAGCCTCTTGGATCCTCCCACCCTGCCCCAAGTGCTCCGCAAATTCATCCTGCTCCTACGCTGCCTGAACTGGCAGGGGCTCCCTGCTGGAGGACACCCAGGAAGGAGTCTGAAGTCAATTTACAGGGTCAAATCAAGCAATTAAAGAAACCCCAAAACCAAAAACCAAAAAAATCCCCAGAACATGGAGCATTTCGTGAGTAGTAAGGGCACCGTTTGCAACCTTCTGGTTTCGGTTATATTCATACAACTGGGTTCAGACAGGGTCACACTAAAACATGCATTGCTTAACTTTGGGCTACTGTTAAAAAAAAATTGAAAGTCCCTGTCCTGGAGGATACAGTCTGTGTTTCAGGTCCTGCACGGCAGCTCAGCTACCCTCCGGCCCTAACTCTCTCACTCCAGACAGACAACAGACAGACAAGGCCAGTCCAGCTCCTGAGGCTTTGCCAGCGGTATTCCCGGTTCCCTTCTCTGTCTCCAGGATGTTCTCACTTCCTCTCTGAGCCAGTCCTGGGTGCCTGGCTCCCTATGTACAGTGCAGACCCTCGAGGCACCGCTCACTGTTAAGCCACGCAACCAGAAGAGCCTGGGCACCATCCCCTTTCATAGACGAGAGAACTGAAGCTCAGAGAAGGGAAGAGTTTTGCCCAAACAGCACAGCTACTAAGTGGCAGAGATGGGATTTTAAGTGGGGTCCCTTTGAATCCATAACCCCACACTCTTAACCAGTACTCTATGTTATGATTTTAAAAACCTCAAAGCAAGCAAAAGAAAAACTTCTCAAATGAAAAAGTATATACTCTTTTAGAGGGAGTCGAAGGGCTGGCTGGTGAGCTCAGGTGGTTACAGTGCGGTATTACAACACTAAGGTCAAAGGTTCGGATCCCTTTACTGGCTAGCTGCAAGAAAATACATAAAGGGAGTCAAAAAGTTGGAGGCCATTTCCCTAAACTTGGGACATCTGAGACAGCAGACATAGCCAGCAGCATGTGGGGTCTGGGGACAATCGTTCTCAGAAACGACGCTGTAGCCTTGGGGGGCTGTTGCTGTTGCCCCAGCTCAGGCAGAGCCTGTGGCCCCCAAAAGAGAAAAATGTGGCCCCATGAGCTGTCTACAGATGGGCCCTGTGACAAAGCCAGCCGAGTGTCCCCAGAGGGCTGGATAGTGTCAGTGTCCTCTCTTGCTGCAGCAGGGGACACTATCAGGAAAAGAATGCATGTGTTGAATAAGCTTGGTGCACACTTACTGAAATGCTCCAATGACTTCTTCTCACCCGCAGAATCTGGCACCCCCTCCCCGTCCTTCCCCCTCTGTGCCAGCTGCCCTGGCCTCCTCCCTACTCCCTTCACCCACCAACTCCCCCATCTGCCTGGAACGCAATCCCCTTTATGCCATCGTCAGCCGAGGGCTTGAGGGCCCCGAGCACGGATCAAAGGTATCCATTCCGACTCAGGTCGATTTGAAAGGAAAACTCTTTGATTCCCCAGCTGCAGAAGAGAGCAGTTCCCACGGTCTTTATTTTAGGCATGGAGTTTGCCCTCCGATTTAATTCTGGTGTCTCTCAATGCCGGGCCTTTGTTAAAGGCCTGTCTGGAGGGCTGCTAGGAAGACACAGACCCAGGGCTGCTGGTTTTATCACAGAGCTGCAGCCACATGCCTGAGCATGCATCCCAGGATGGCACAAAAACACAAACGGGGGAGTCGCCCAGGACACAGCATCAAATGCACGGCACGTGGCCAAGTGGCTGGTGAGGGAGGGGCGTGCAGCAGGCGTTGGAAGGCAACCTTTGAACGGAGAGTGGCTGTTACGGAGCTTTTAGCACCAACGCCCTCGGAAAGGTGCCACGGACTGGCTGCCACATCTTTCAGCACCTCCGAATTACACAGATGCACAAAGATGTGGCCTGCCTCAGGGCCATTTTCACAGCCTGTCCACATCCCATTCTCACGCCTCTAGACCCCAGACCCAAGTGCAGGGTGGCCCTGTGGGGACACAAGCCCAGTGCAGAATGTCAAACATTTGGTCCTGGAAACATATAAACTTCACACGTGTTAATGGGTGTTTTATAGCAGTCGCCTCCCTTTTGGCCTGTTTTGAAAGGTAAGTTGCTCAAACTTTGGAGGCTCCTCTGAGGGTGTAGCCCAGGTCAGCAGGGGACTTGGTTTCTCCCTTTATATCCACCTCTACCCTTGAAAGGGGTGTAGGGATGGGTGGGGGGTGATGATGGGGCCAAAGGCGTGGGTGAGGGCTCTGCTTCTTGCCTCTGTGGGTGAGCGAAATGGAGCAAGTGGAACAGACCCCCCTCCCGGGCCCCTGCAGCCGTGAGTGCGTGTCCACCCACAGTCCTGCCGGGGGAGCCGGGCCCTGCCACTGGGAAGGGAGCTGATTGACGGACCTGGAATGGGGTGGGATCAAGTCCTGGGGCTGCAGAAACCCAGAGGAGGGGACCCAACCCAGCCTGGGAGGGGCAGGGGCTTCCTGGGGAGGTGATCCTTGGGCTGGGTCATTGTTTGTTTTTGAATTATAATTCTTCAGGTCCCCCACAACCCCCTTATAAAAGTGAAACATGCTCACTGTAGAAATTCTAGAAACCACAGTGAAGGATCAAGAAGAAAAGTGAACTTGTCTGCAGTTCTGCCGCCCTGACATCACAGCTGTGAACATCTGGGCCTCTGTCTTCCCCATCTTTTCACCAGGCTGAAGTTTGAAAGGAGAGAAGAGTAGGAGGCCATGAGGTGGGTAGGAAGGGGCATAGAGAGGGGTTTTAAGCACAAGGATGCTCTTGGGCAAAGCTTCTAGAAGTCTTGAAACAGGGCACTGAGGAGGGGGATTCAAGAGCTGTGGGCTTGAGAGACAGGGTTGCAGCTGGAGGGCGCTGGGGCAGGGGGGAGGGTTGAACGCTGTCCTGGAAACCTGGGGGGGCCTCTGCAGGCTTTTAACTTGAGAAGGGACAGGATCATATTTGCAAGGTAGAAAGAGGGCAAGAGAAGCACTACAGAGTTCCAGACAGTCTTCCTCGGCTGCCTAAAACCTCCTTCGCGTTAGTGATTCGTTCTGTGGGATTCGTCTCTCTCCTCCCTTCAGCCTCCTTTTATTTATTTTTTATTTATTTATTTTTTTTTTTTAAAGATAACCGGTAAGGGGATCTTAACCCTCGACTTGGTGTTGTCAGCACCACGCTCAGCCAGTGAGCGAACCGGCCATCCCTATATGGGATCCGAACCCGTGGCCTTGGTGTTATCAGCACCGCACTCTCCCGAGTGAGCCACAGGCCGGCCCTCAGCCTCCTTTTAAAACTCCTTCCTGTGAGGGCCGGCCCGGTGGTGCACTGCTATAGTGCAACGCTTGGGAGTGTGGTGGCGCTCCCGCTGAGGGTTCGGATCCCACATACAGACCAGTTCCTGCTCACTGGCTGAGCGAGGCGCGGGGGCAGCGCCGAGGGGTGGGATCCCGTTGCCGGGCCCG